TTATTTAAATCTCTATATTCCACACGAAAAGTTCGAAATGGTATATTTTAATTTTGGATGCATGAAAATGAATAATCCACAATACGACACTTCAGTGGAAAGTCAATTTTAATGATTTATAGGACAACGTAACAAAACTTAATTCGAAGGAACATGAACTTAAATAGATTGTTGCCATTAAGGTTAAGAATAAATAAATGTAATGAAAATCCCAATAAACCAAATTAACAAAATTATGCTGCACATTAAATTACTATTATAATAAGCTTTCAAATGAGCTGTCACACTTAACAATACGTACCACTTTTTTATCATGCTAAAGGGCGCTAGAATCAAAAGTAGCACTATAAACAGTCACATTTCTAAAAATTATTCATTAAATTACATTTGCGTTGATGTGTAATACTTAGTACGTTTTCTATTTAAATTGTATTGGTTAGTAGTGGGAAGGAGGAGAGGGGAATGTTGTGTGTCAGTTTAGGATGTGATAAAAATGTGCCAGCCTTAGAATAAAAATCGACCTAATTTAAACAATTCTTTGTATTAATTTGAAGCAAGTGGTGATACAATTGAAATCAGCATAATAAAAGGAAGCTTAAAAATTTGTATGTTATGTTGGGAATGGGGTGCTAAAACACTACGACCTAAAATATTTATTGTACCCCTTTTGTCGCTAATGCAGCAAGGAAATGTCGCAATGCCTACAACGATCCTTACAATCATATCTTCCTTGAGTGGCTTCAAGTTAGGTAAATATCACTCTTCTATTTAATATGCTCTTAGGTATAGTGGGTATAGTGTCCTTGGATTTTGGAGTGCTACACATTGTCAGAATGTGAATGGAGGTTTTGTCTTCCTCTTCACAGAATCTGCTCACTATATTCTACTACTCTTAGTTTACTTAAGGTGTCCTTTTAGTGGGCAATGCCCAGTAAGGATTCCTGATACAATACGTAACTTGTTCTTGTAAAATTGGTAAAAATATAGGGTGTTCTATTTATAAAATACTGTCATTGACGTCATTACAAGATGATTACAAGATATATTGAATTATGAGAAAATAAACTAAATTAAAATAAAAAGTTTACTTATTTTATTTTACGTCTTGGTCATATATCACATTTGAGTTGGAATTTTCTTTTTATTTACTTTTATAATAATGCCTAAATATACGTACTAATCAAGGTGCTAACCTTATTATTTAAATAATATCAACCAAAAAATTATTAAACATTTTCTAAAACAAAAATGTTTATTGTGGCATTTTATTTTCTACGGCGCTCTGTAGTACTTGTCGCGTTCAAGATCGAAATTGATACATTTTAATTTTTAAAATGACTCGAGTCGAAAGACAAAATCAGCGAGCCTCCTAGTACGTATATATAATCAACTGCAACGTTGCCAAACCAAAAGCGCGCAGCGAATAGCTTAAGGCGCCCAGTTGACATGTAACATTAAACATCTTATACACAGCGAAATGTATATTAGCAGCGCACCAAGCGGCGAACGCCTGAACTAATATTTTATACAGGATCAAAAAACGGCTCAAATGGGCGTCCTCGAGATTTTTGTGTTAATGGGTGTTTTAGGGTGTCTACATCATCTGGAACAATTTTCAATGGGTTGTCACTGGGGATCCGTATATCGGAAGCCCAGTAACAGCGGAGTCTCAGTGAACCTGAAATTTAACATGGGGGGAGGCTCAGTAATACTTTGTAGATATATATATATATATATATATATATATATATATATATAGTTAAAATAAAAAGTTTACAGTGGGCCGATTTGTATGCACGCAAGTATATATGATTCATGGAAAAAAAATTGTACTATTGCAACATTGGATACCATAAACGTTCAAATAAAGTGTCGTTTTGAATCATTTTGTCATGGTAATGAAAAATTTAGTTTTCTAAACCCATCTATGCTTTTTAAATTGACGCCAGAAATTTTTGTCAAATAAGGCGATGAGTTGGAAATATTTTATAAAAGTGATTTTAATAAAACTGAATCCTTAGGTCTTGGACTAGTTGCTATAAGAAATAATAAATTATTGTGTATAGACCTTCAGAATATTGGGAGCATAACTGAGTTTTTAAAATATTTGTTAGTTGATAATCCTACATGCGTATCTAGCTTTTATAATACAATTAAAGCTCTGATAATGTATTTGACTTCACCCATAAGCGTCGCAAGTAATGAAAGGTCTTTCTCTAAATTAGAAATAATTAAATATTATTTGAGAAACAGAATTTCTCAAAACAGGCTGGATTCTTTAGCACTTTTGGCAATTGAAAACGAATTGGCGCGAGAAATTGACATTGGCCAAGCCATTACTTCTTTTTCTGAAAGAAAAGCTAGAAAAAAGTGTTTTTAGTAACTTTATAGATTTGGTTCATCTATTTTTTAATACAGTTTTTTTACAGTTATTTTAAAAGACAGTTATCTAAAATTCTAAAAAAGACTACTAAAACGAATCCCCAGGTTTCACTTACTACTTGAAATTCTTATCTATTAGGGCCTATGTTGAAAGTTGCGGGGGGCCCTAAATTTGTATTCATTCTCTTTCTTTCCTCCTCACGTAATCTAGAATCAACAATTGCACACAGCTATTGCAGTATTGACGCCTCGGAGATAACGTCCAGGTCTACGTTCAGAGGCACCAGGTGTCCATGTGGTGTTCGCCGATATTATATTTGAATTTAGCGACCCAAACCCCCCCCCCCCCCCCCCCCCGTTAACGATTTTTAGTTCGTCTTTTTCAATTAGGTCTGGAAGAACCTCGGTAAAGACGTTCAGGGCCAAGTTCCGGTGCACAAGGTGTTCAGGGGGTCGTTTTCGACGTGAAATTTAGATTCAGCGCCCCAAAAAACCCCGCTCAATCATTTTCGGGTTGTTGTTGTCGATATTGTGAGGAAAATTCTCGGAGATGACGTCCAGGTCGAAGTTTAGGCGCACCAGGTGTTTGGGGGGGTATTCGTCGATGCCATATTTGGATTCAGCGACCCAAAAAACCCCGATCGTCTAGTTGCTCTCCTTCCCCGCGTGAATTTTGGGAGAGTCCCACGAAGATGACGTTCGTCGACGTTCCTGAGCTCTAGGTCGGCTGTGGGTCAATTTAGACATCATAATCGTGATCAGCGACCTCGAAAACCCCCGAAAACCCGATCTGGGCTAGTTCTGACACTTATTTAACAAGTTTTGAAATCATCCATTTTTGGCTGCAGCAATGCAATTTTCGGTTTGTATGACCCGGAAATTACGGGGGAATGATACAAATAATTTTTGCAAGCGAGTGCAAAAAACCGCATTCCGATCCGACTTGCACGGAAAAACCCAGGAACTTTTTGCTTCATTGCTTCGTCTATTAGGGACGCAGCCCGTAATGCGAGGGCCCGTAGTAGGAACACGCCCTAAATTGACTTATTTTCGACCTCAGAAACTGTGGCTTACTATAAAACTTTTTTACACCCTGTATGTAATGATTTGAAAATACATCATATTAAACTAATCCATTAAATTGCAATGCACATGTCATACGATGCTTTAATATAATATCTGTTAAATATTAGGTATTTACATTGCGAGTATAAACCTATTCAGACACGTCCTGGCTATATAGCATTATAAAAACTACATGTGAAATACGATTCTCGTGTTATTGGACCACCCACGGACAATCATATCCCGTGTTATGAATATTTGAATAAAATGGGTAATAATAATTCCCAATCGAAGATGTAGAACTATACAATAATCCGTTTATTGAAATTGAAAACACGTTTTTGTTCCTTCAGTAAAATGTTTAGTACGTAAAAGGAGAAGTAATTGTTACACAAGTTTATATAATAATACAGAGTGTCCCAGAAGTGCATGGTTCAGATATATGAGATTATGAAAAAAACAATATTATTTCTTCATATCATACGAGCTTTGTATGCCATTAATAATCTTTAATATCCTAAGCATCTGTCTTGCTCTATTGCATGTTCAGTTCCATATTCTAAATTCAACTTAAGTGTAACCGAAAAATAATTACAGAATTATAAAAAGTGAATATCACTTAACCTATAGTTAAAATCAGCAATTTGTTTTGTCAGTAATAAAATAATAATAATTCGGTAATAGTTGTAACCTAGAAAATCTTTCACACGGTTTAGAGAAATAATAAGTCGAAAGACAGCGAGCGTTTAGAAGAACAATCTATAATTTAGTTTTGACCTCACCTCTTTCTCTAGGCTAGCTGATATTGTTCGATGTAAAAGGATTGTCAGTTATACTAAGAGTTGTTATTAGGAGGTGACAGAAATTGGAGGTAATTATATTTTGAATTATAAAAAAGAAGTATACGGGATGTTTCACGAAAAAGTATCTACTACTATTAAAACAATTTGCTGTAAAATCATCCTCTTTCTTAAAATTCGTCGGAATATTTTATTTTTTGTATGTTTAGCGATAATTCTTTACAACATGGTCCAATTTATATAATTCTTTTTTTTTGTTAGAAAGAATATGGATATTCCCATTTAAATTTGGTCAAGATCTAGTAGTGACGTCCATGAGAAAATCATGAAACTCTTAATTTTTTATGTATTTTTAGCGATAATTTTTTAATACGTTGTTCGATTTCCATGATAATTTCTTTATTAGAAAGTGGTTACATCAGGGATGGTCCCGTATACAATTGGGTACGATCTAAAGATCTATAAGAAAATAAAAAACTCAATTTAAAAGTTGGTATTTGTAACGGTTGGAACCGTTTTCGTTATTTTGACGCAAACATCTCTACTCTAATGTCATTTGTCGTTTATGCCTTGCGTCAAAAGCTCATTTTCATTTCGATTGTCACCGATTAAGTTGATTTAAATTTTTAATTATCTGGGTCATCCGATGTACTAAATAAAGTTTATCTATCGTATAGGCCGTCTGATTTTAAAAGCCTGGCTATATCTAGACGGTATAAGTTATAAAAGTTATAGAAGTTATAGAAGTTATAGAAGTTATAGAAGTTATAGAAGTTATAGAAGTTATAGAAGTTATAGAAGTTATAGAAGTTATAGAAGTTATAGAAGTTATAGAAGTTATAGAAGTTATAGAAGTTATAGAAGTTATAGAAGTTATAGAAGTTATAGAAGTTATAGAAGTTATAGAAGTTATAAAAGTTATAGAAGTTATAGAAGTTATGGAAGTTATAGAAGTTATAGAAGTTATAGAAGTTATAGAAGTTATAGAAGTTATAGAAGTTATAGAAGTTATAGAAGTTATAGAAGTTATAGAAGTTATAGAAGTTATAGAAGTTATAGAAGTTATAGAAGTTATAGAAGTTATAGAAGTTATAGAAGTTATAGAAGTTATAGAAGTTATAGAAGTTATAGAAGTTATAGAAGTTATAGAAGTTATGGAAGTTATAGAAGTTATAGAAGTTATAGAAGTTATAGAAGTTATAGAAGTTATAGAAGTTATAGAAGTTATAGAAGTTATAGAAGTTATAGAAGTTATAGAAGTTATAGAAGTTATAGAAGTTATAGAAGTTATAGAAGTTATAGAAGTTATAGAAGTTATAGAAGTTATAGAAGTTATAGAAGTTATAGAAGTTATAGAAGTTATAAAAGTTATAGAAGTTATAGAAGTTATGGAAGTTATAGAAGTTATAGAAGTTATAGAAGTTATAGAAGTTATAGAAGTTATAGAAGTTATAGAAGTTATGGAAGTTATAGAAGTTATAGAAGTTATAGAAGTTATAGAAGTTATAGAAGTTATAGAAGTTATAGAAGTTATAGAAGTTATAGAAGTTATAGAAGTTATAGAAGTTATAGAAGTTATAGAAGTTATAGAAGTTATGGAAGTTATAGAAGTTATAGAAGTTATAGAAGTTATAGAAGTTATAGAAGTTATAGAAGTTATAGAAGTTATAGAAGTTATAGAAGTTATAGAAGTTATAGAAGTTATAGAAGTTATAGAAGTTATAGAAGTTATAGAAGTTATAGAAGTTATAGAAGTTATAGAAGTTATAGAAGTTATAGAAGTTATAGAAGTTATAGAAGTTATAGAAGTTATAGAAGTTATAGAAGTTATAGAAGTTATAGAAGTTATAGAAGTTATAGAAGTTATAGAAGTTATAAAAGTTATAAAAGTTATAGAAGTTATAGAAGTTATGGAAGTTATAGAAGTTATAGAAGTTATAGAAGTTATAGAAGTTATAGAAGTTATAGAAGTTATAGAAGTTATAGAAGTTATAGAAGTTATAGAAGTTATAGAAGTTATAGAAGTTATAGAAGTTATAGAAGTTATAGAAGTTATAGAAGTTATAGAAGTTATAGAAGTTATAGAAGTTATAGAAGTTATAGAAGCTATAGAAGTTATAGAAGTTATAGAAGTTATAGAAGTTATAGAAGTTATAGAAGTTATAGAAGTTATAGAAGTTATAGAAGTTATAGAAGTTATAGAAGTTATAGAAGTTATAGAAGTTATAGAAGTTATAGAAGTTATAGAAGTTATAGAAGTTATAGAAGTTATAGAAGTTATAGAAGTTATAGAAGTTATAGAAGTTATAGAAGTTATAGAAGTTATAGAAGTTATAGAAGTTATAGAAGTTATAGAAGTTATAGAAGTTATAGAAGTTATAGAAGTTATAGAAGTTATAGAAGTTATAGAAGTTATAGAAGTTATAGAAGTTATAGAAGTTATAGAAGTTATAGAAGTTATAGAAGTTATAGAAGTTATAGAAGTTATAGAAGTTATAGAAGTTATAGAAGTTATAGAAGTTATAGAAGTTATAGAAGTTATAGAAGTTATAGAAGTTATAGAAGTTATAGAAGTTATAGAAGTTATAGAAGTTATAGAAGTTATAGAAGTTATAGAAGTTATAGAAGTTATAGAAGTTATAGAAGTTATAGAAGTTATAGAAGTTATAGAAGTTATAGAAGTTATAGAAGTTATAGAAGTTATAGAAGTTTTAAAAGATTTAGAATTTTAGTTCAAACTGCATCTAAGGAAGTTTATTTCAAGTATATCAAGAGGTTCGTTCGAGTCATCTAAAGAAGTTTATGAAATTTAAGTTTGGTACTGTCCGAAGAGTATCGTACGAGTCCCTTTGAAGAAGGTCTCTACTAGTCACTCCTTATTTACTTACTCTTGTCCAACAGATAAGTCTCTTTTGAATAAATCGTCTAAATTTGAATAAGTAAATTTCTTTGAATTAGAATTTGTTGCTACCTTATCTTAAACTTTATTTAATTATAATATCTTAATGGTTAGTGATTTTCTATATTTTTATCACTAATCGATACTTAAGTTTAGTAAGTTTTAAATATAGTGGCGCTTAACATTCTTTTTCAAAGTAATACGAGTTATTTAATAACCTAACCCACTCCCCAAAATCATAAGAGCTTAAAACGCTATAAAAAATAGATAAAATAACAATTATCACGTTACATATTTTAAAATTACTTTTATATTATTATTTTGAAGGGTGACAATTAAATATTATCTATCGAGAGAAACCTATCTTTTATAATGGTAATTTGGATAAAAAAATGAATTGATATGATAAGTTATATGTGAATATTAATTTTATTACTTACTTTATTTGCCCGATCATTGTAACTTTAGACAGAACCTAATTGTTCCAAGAGTATGAGCTGTTTTAATCACATGGTAGAGTTCAAACGTTGTCTTGTAGATGTAGTAAGATGTATTTTTATTTATTCTAGATGATTTGTAATTAAACATTAAATTATAAAGCCCAGTTTTAGTTAAACATATCATAACACAAGTCATTTATTAAAACATTAAATAAATTAAATGTTATGTTTATTTTTATTTGTATTTATTATTTCAAAAATCTTGAGGTAAATCGATGTAAAAGAATAAACATTTAAATTCCCCGCAAAGTGTGTTGTCTTGTCATAATCTATTGGATTTGTTACAAGCAAATAATTATAGGAATGATAGTTTACCGTATAATAAATAAATGTTTAAGACAATAATAACCCGAATTATTTATAATAAAATATTATTTGTACTTAAAGAAGACATAACTTGGTATCACAGGTGAGTACTTGTATTATATGATTAAGCCTATAAAATCTAAACATGACAAATTTCAAGAATGATAAATTATTCATATCTCAAATGTGGTCATTTTACATAGTCAAAATAAATCCTCATAATCAATACCACACCAATTGTATTAAATTTAAATACAGGAGCGACTAGTTTTAGCTTCACCGGGCCATCTTAAGGACTGTAATACAACAATCCTTATTAGTAATAGGAAAGATATAAAAATACATGAAACACTTACGATTTAATTTAAATAATTGACAGTATGAATTAAACACGTAACATTTTTAGGTTAACCATAACATAATTTTGATTTCATTTTTGACATTTAAAAATAATTCATTAATCTTTTACCTACTAACCTTATTCAAGATTTCATCTTTTTGACTAGGGTCTCTAATATCTCTGACATCTGTATGTATGATGAATTATTTGTTATTATATTAGATTAGTAGTTGTCTAATTGGTGTCAAGACAGATGCGCCCTCGTACATTTGAGCCCCCGATACATTTGAGCCCCTGTCTCGATTTTTCGAATAATGATAAAATTTAAGTGAGACAGTTGCGACCCTACCTATTAATCCCAAACAGAAGTCGAATAATGAAAGTAGATTTTTTGGTTTACTGATATATACAAGGTGTTTCAGATTTATAAGTACATACATTAACTGTAAGTGTAAGACACTTGGATGATTCGAAATCACTCATTAATAATGGGTCTATCACGTCTCATTACCCAGAATGAATTTATGAATTTATAAATTTCTCCTGGATTTTTATTTCATCTTGTCTTTATACTTTTTAAATAGAATAAATAGATGTTTGAAATAAAGTAAAAAGTAAGTGTTTCTAAAATAAAATTAAGGTTGCTAGGCAATACATTACAGTATCTGATTCTGTTATGTTCCATTTCCCGGAAGCAAATGAGTAATATATTTATTAGTAATACTGATATTTAATTGTGAAAAAGCAAAAATTATCTTTAAAAGAAACTATAAGTAGATTTGCTGGACAGAATGAAACAAAAATGTTTGTTTGGTTTACTGACATTATATAACTTCCCTTCACACTTTTTACAGGCTGAGGATTGTCGACATAAATATGCCGGCGTGTTTATAAAGATATGTCCAGTGGATATTGTTAGTTTTTTTTGATTTATTTTTTTTTTAGTATTTTATTTTTTTGTTTTTTTGTTTTTTTTTTTGTTTTTTTTTTTGTTTTTTTGTTTTGTTTTTGTTTTTGGTTTATTTTTTGTAATGTTATATTCATGTTTACATTTTTTCAAGTATTGAACCAAAGGGAAACCACTTGCTGATGATGATAAGTCAGGGTACAGAATAATGATGTTTTCATCCAATTGTGGACAAAATCTACTCAGTACAGCCGAAACAATATTTATAGACGGAACTTTCAAAAGTTGCTGTAAACATTTCTCGCAATTATATTCGTTTCAGTAGACAACTGCACCGAAACGAACATAGTTCCTGCAATGTTTGCTCTACTGCAAAACAAGCAGAAGAAAACATATATTAGTTTGTATGAAAGAATAAAAGAAAAACTTCTCAGGTGGTCGCCGAAAACAGTAAAAATTGATTTTGAAATGGCTGCAATAGCAGCTTTGAGCAGCACATTTCCAAACATTAGAATTAGTGGTTGCAACTTCCATTTCAAAGATGCAGCAATTTCAAGATTATTTCATTGAACACTGGATGGAAAATTCAGTCCTAGACATTGATATGTGAAACATCTTTGGTCAAAAGCATCGAATAAACAACTCCGTCGAAGGCTGGAATCACAGATTAAATATGGCCATAAAAACGCTCACCAACGAAGAAAAAAGACGTACATTTAATTAGATGAGCGCATTGATAAGATATTGAACGAGTATGCGGAAGCAAATGATCATTTAAAATGTTTGAAAACCCTTGCCTTTGTACAAAAGCTGGAGCAACCGTTCAATACTTGAAAAAATGTAAATATGTATATAACATTACAAAAAAATTAACAAAAAAAAAAACAAAAAACCAAAAAAAAAAAACAAAAAAATAAAATACTAAAAAAAAATAAAAAAAACTGACAATATCCACTGGATATGTCTTTATAAACACGCCGGCATATCTATGTCGACAGTCCTCAGCCTGTAAAAAGTGTGAAGGGAAGTTATATAATGTCAGTAAACCAAACAAACATTTTTATTTCATTCTGTCCAGCAAATCGACTTATAGTTTCTTTTAAGGATAATTTTTGCTTTTTCACAATTAAATATCAGTATTAATAAATACTCGTATATTACTAATTTGCTTCCGGGAAATGGAACATAACAGTATCAGATACTGCACGTAATTCGCACAAAATTATGGTGTTAATAAAATTACTTGATAAATAATAAAAAGTTGTGCTAACTTTACGTTAAGCTAGTACAAAATTTAATTAAAAAGAATATATTTGACCATATTCATTTTTGATTCCGCACATAATTTGCACAAAAACGCACAAAATTATGGTGTTATTAAAATTAAAATTAATTGATAAATAATAAAAAGTTGTGCTTACTTAACGTTAAGCTAGCACAATATTTAATTAAAAAGAATATATTTGACCAAATATATTTTTGATTTCGCACATAATTTGCAAAAAAAACGCACAAAATTATGGTATAATTCAAATTTAAATTACTTGATAAATAATGGGGTTGTGCTAACTAAACATTAAGCCAGCACAATATTTAATTAAAAAGAATATATTTGACCAAATTTATTTTTGATTCCACACATAATTTGCACAAAAAACGCACAAAATTATGGTGTTATTAAAATTAAAATCACTTGATAAATAATAAACAGTTGTGCTAACTTTACGTTAAGCTAGCACAATATTTAATTAAAAGGAATATATTTGGCCAAATTTATTTTTGATTCCGCACATAATTTGCACAAAAAACGCACAAAATTATGATGTTATTGAAATTAAAATTACTTGATAAATGATAAAAAGTTGTGCTAACTTAACGTTAAGCTAGCACAATATTTAATTATAAAAAACTATAAATGCACAAAAATCGTGAATAGCGCAGAAAAATTGCACATAATTCGCACATAATTATAGATAAGGTTCTGATTGATTGTGCTAAGATTGTTGTACTAACTTTTAATACCTACAATATGGATTTATGTTAGTATTTTAAACTATTTAAGTTTAATCGTGTTATATCTACTCTTATATTTTTGCTCTTAATACTAGGGATTATTGTATTATAGGCCTACAGATGGCCCTGTATGGCCAAGACTAGTCGCTTCTGTATTTAAATTTAATAAAATTGATGTGTGTACCATTTGTGTACTATTTGTGTACTATTTGTGTACTATTTGTGTACTATTTGTGTACTATTTGTGTACTATTTGTGTACTATTTGTGTACTATTTGTGTACTATTTGTGTACTATTTGTGTACTATTTGTGTACTATTTGTGTACTATTTGTGTACTATTTGTGTACTATTTGTGTACTATTTGTGTACTATTTGTGTACTATTTGTGTACTATTTGTGTACTATTTGTGTACTATTTGTGTACTATTTGTGTACTATTTGTGTACTATTTGTGTACTATTTGTGTACTATTTGTGTACTATTTGTGTACTATTTGTGTACTATTTGTGTACTATTTGTGTACTATTTGTGTACTATTTGTGTACTATTTGTGTACTATTTGTGTACGATTTGCACACTATTTGTGTACTATTTGTGTACTATCTGTGTACTATTTGTGTACTATTTGTGTACTATTTGTGTACTATTTGTGTACTATTTGTGTACTATTTGCATACTATTTGTGTACTATTTGTGTACTATTTGTGTACTATTTGTGTACTATTTGTGTACTATTTGTGTACTATTTGTGTACTATTTGTGTACTATTTGTGTACTATTTGTGTACTATTTGTGTACTATTTGTGTACTATTTGTGTACTATCTGTGTACTATTTGTGTACTATTTGTGTACTATTTGTGTACTATTTGTGTACTATTTGTGTACTATTTGTGTTCTATTTTCGTACTATTTGTGTACCATTTGTGTACTATTTGTGTACTATTTGTGTACTATTTGTGTACTATTTGTGTACTATTTGTGTACTATTTGTGTACTATTTGCGTACTATTTGTGTACTATTTGTGTACTATTTGTGTATTATTTGTGTACTATTTGTGTACTAGTTGTGTACTATTTGTGTACTATTTGTGTACTATTTGTGTACTATTTGTGTACTAGATGTGTACTATTTATGTACTATATATGTACTATTTGTGTACTATTTGTGTACTATTTGTGTACTATTTGTGTACTATTTGTGTACTATTTGTGTACTATTTGTGTACTATTTGTGTACTATTTGTGTACTATTTGTGTACTATTTGTGTACTATTTGTGTACTATTTGTGTACTATTTGTGTACTATTTGTGTACTATTTGTGTACTATTTGTGTACTATTTGTGTACTATTTGTGTACTATTTGTGTCCTATTTGTGTCCTATTTGTGTACTATTTGTGTACTATTTGTGTACTATTTGTGTACTATTTGTGTACTATTTGTGTACTATTTGTGTACTATTTGTGTACTATTTGTGTACTATTTGTGTACTATTTGTGTACTATTTGTGTACGATTTGCACACTATTTGTGTACTATTTGTATACTATTTGTGTACTATTTGTGTACTATCTGTGTACTATTTGTGTACTATTTGTGTACTATTTGTGTACTATTTGTGTACTATTTGTGTACTATTTGCGTACTATTTGTGTACTATTTGTGTACTATTTGTGTACTATTTGTGTACTATTTGTGTACTATTTGTGTACTATTTGTGTACTATTTGTGTACTATTTGTGTACTAACTGTGTACTATTTGTGTACTATTTGTGTACTATTTGTGTACCATTTGTGTACTATTTGTGTTCTATTTGCGTACTATTTGTGTACCATTTGTGTACTATTTGTGTACTATTTGTGTACTATTTGTGTACTATTTGTGTACTATTTGTGTACTATTTGTGTACTATTTGTGTACTATTTGTGTACTATTTGTGTATTATTTGTGTACTATTTGTGTACTATTTGTGTACTATTTGTGTACTATTTGTGTACTATTTGTGTACTATTTGTGTACTATTTGTGTACTATTTGTGTACTATTTGTTTACTATTTGTTTACTATTTGTGTACTATTTGTGTACTATTTGTGTACTATTTGTGTACTATTTGTGTACTATTTTTGTACTATTTTTGTACTATTTGTGTACTATTTGTGTACTATTTGTGTACTATTTGTGTACTATTTGTGTACTATTTGTGTACTATTTGTGTACTATTTGTGTACTATTTGTGTACTATTTGTGTACTATTTGTGTACTATTTGTGTACTATTTGTGTACTATTTGTGTATTATTTGTGTACTATTTGTGTACTATTTGTGTACTATTTGTGTACTATTTGTGTACTATTTGTGTACTATTTGTGTACTATTTGTGTACTATTTGTGTACTATTTGTGTACTATTTGTGTACTATTTGTGTACTATTTGTGTACTATTTGTGTACTATTTGTGTACTATTTGTGTACTATTTATGTACGATTTGTGTACTATTTGTGTACTATTTGTGTACTATTTGTGTACTATTTGTGTACTATTTGTGTACTATTTGTGTACTATTTGTGTACTATTTGTGTACTATTTGTGTACTATTTGTGTACTGTTTGTGTGCTATTTGTGTCCTATTTGTGTACTATTTGTGTACTATTTTTGTACTATTTTTGTACTATTTTTGTACTATTTGTGTACTATTTGAGTATTTTATGTACTATTTTTCTACAAATTTACATGTAACCAGCGGCTTAGTTTACTATGGGTACTATTTGTGCATTATACGTACTATTTACGTTTTATTGTAAAACAAGTTACTTTGCGGTTTAACTTTCGTAATTTAGCGTTTAATGACATTATCGCGCATAATGCTGTAACTTACCTGAAATGTTTGCTGTTGAAACGGACTCTAATGCCAGCGTAAATTTTTTTGAAATTTGTTTTATTTTTTGTTTTATTATTCTAACATTAAAAACATTTGTATTTTAAATCTAAAGAAGAAAATCCTAAAAATGGTAAAACCATTCTAGAACGGAAGGAGATCTATTTGGTTTACTTCGTCTTTTTCTTTTACTTCTCTTGGTTCCTATTGTTGTAGAAATTAACGAACGTCTTATTGTAACAATTGAACCTTGCTGTTGACTTCTCACCATTAAACGGTTAATTGTCTTGACTCGTAAAAATTTGCCTGTCATGTCTTCAGTATTTATACATGTTTGAATTATTTTCTCACATTCTTTATATCCATGGTTTTGGCAAATCGTCAAAGCTTTTTTTCTTGAATTCGTCGGAAACTGTTTGGGATCTGTAATGTTGTTTAACAAAATCCTAATCATTGAAGGTAGATTAGAAGAGCATGCCAATATAATTGGGGATTTTCCAAATTTATTTTTACAATTAATAATTGCTTGATTTTTAAGTAACATTTTGACAACATCTTCATTTTTTGTTTTCACACTATGATGCAAAGCAGTCCATTTGTCATTGTCACCACAATTTATATCGGCTTTATTTTTTAATAATAAATTAATTAATTTTATTTTTCCTCCCCGGGCAGAAAATATTAAAGGAGTTAATCCATGTTCGTTGGCACAATTTACGTTTGCTCCCCACTCTATCAGTCTCTTAGCAAATCTTTCATTTCCTCTTATAGCACAAAAATGCAGGGCAGTCATTCCTCTCTTATTAGAAAAATTTACATCTGCTCCATGTTGATATAAAATTTTAGCAATTTCAAGATTTCTGTTTAAAATACTTAATATAAATGGACTATTTTCAGTTTCATTCTCTGGCTCATCAATGTCTGATTTACATAGGTACTGTAGTAAAATCTTGATACATTCTATATTGTTATTTTTAGTGCAACAATACAGAACGTTTTGGCCCATTTTATTTTTTTGTCGTAAAATAGAATAATATTTTTTTGACAACAAATTAAATACGTTCACATTTCTCCAGTCACAAGACAGATGTAATGGTGAATTTCCGTTAATGTCTTTTCCAAAATTTTTCGCAGGAATATTGTAGTCTAGTATTATTTTTATACATTCTTCTTGTCGGTATTTTACTGCCAAATGAAGTAAGCTCATTTCTGTCGGAGAATCTCGAACCTAAAAAAGTAGATGATTAGCAATGTTTTAATGTTTTACCGATCATAGAGAACAGGGGCGGTCTTTCCATTGGTTCATTTGTGCAGTGAACACCCAGTTAAATTTCATAAAAACACATTATTTTAAAATGACATAAATAACAGAAAAATATACATTTAATTTTAATTTTTTTATTTTCATACGTGTTAATCTATATATTTTGGTACATCATTGTCCTCTGGCTGATCGCATCTCTGTGGCAAAGTATACCTAAGTATACTGTGTCTGTGGCGCATTATGAGGAGTAAGCCTAACACGAGTGAGACGATATGGTGAATGCATATAGCTAAAGAGAGAAGAAAACACGTCAACAGATTCTTCAAACTGTCAAAGATCACATTAATGGGCGCACCACTCACAAACAAGGTTGCCAAACCAGTGTTACCAGTCTAGTACAATTCACAATTGTACTAGATGTAGTACATTCTGCGAGCATCAGTGTTCACGTGTAAAATATATATATTGTGTTCCTTGTTTGGGTTCGTTATCAATA